TTCCCACACACACCTGTACAGGGAAAGGGGGGGTCTGTGTGCGGTGGGATGGGGAGGAGGAAGGGGGGCCAGTCGGCCCTGTTTCCTCATGGGGGGGGGCAGCCCGCATCAGCCAGCCCTGCGGGGAAACTGGGCCCATAGGAAGGGCAAACCCTGCCACAAGGGTCTCCACGTCTGCCTTTATAAAGTGAGGACAATCTCGGCCCCTCTGGAGGCCTTCCGTGAGCTAGAGGGGAGGCGAGCCGGAACCACACCGCCTGTGTCTTGAATTCTTCCCTGAGCAGAACACACTACGCCGAGGACTCAGTTGAACCATACGCCCCCGGCAGGTACAAGGACCGCTAGCCTGCACATCTCAGCCCTTGATGCGTCTTACCTCTGGTGAATCCTAACCTGAACCCTGTAATGCAGATTCTGCTACTGCGCCTGCTTTACAGATGGGGAAACTGAGGCACGGCGAGGGGGGGGGTCACACAGCATCGAAGGGTAAAGTGGACAGCAGGAGCCTGTGCCAACTGCATCCAGACTTAACCACACACTCTGTGCTCCTCACATCCCTTCCCGGCCGCGTGGCACTGAGAAGTGCCTCCCGTGCCTCCGTATGGCGAGCCCTGGAGCAACGTGGCCTGTTTAGGGAAGCCGGTCCTTTACCTGAACTCTGTCCTCCGAGCGCGCGCCCCTCCTCCCCTCCCACCTGGCTCACGCCCAGCCGCACCTTGATGTCCTCAGCGTTGGCAGCCTGCAGCTTCTCGCGGAAATGCCCATCGGTCTCCAGCACGTTGATGACTTCCTGGAGGTACCGGTGGTAGTACAGGCCTGTGTCCTGAGGGGACAGGGATGAACGTAGCAGCCCAGCCCCTACCCCCCTCCGGTTTCTCCCTGCATGTAGGACCCAGGCCCCACTCGCCGGGTGCCGGCTGCAGGACCCCGAGACCCCCTGCTTGGACCAAGAGGCAGGCCGGCCCCATGGGACGAAGGCTCTAGAGCCTGGTGACCCCAGTTCTGATCCCCATCTGCTCTGTAACCCCAGGCAAACCGCCTGATCTTCTGGGCCCCAGCACTCATCTCTTCCCAGGCCGTTAGTGGAGATGAAGTAAACATCACACGGGGAGACAGACACCCAGCCCAACGCTGCGCACAGAGTGGGTGCTCAGGGTGGACACATGAGTGTTTCTTGGCAAGCAGCGAAACATACACTCATTTGTCTTTCATCAAGCAATCACCGAGCTCCTACCGCATGCCAGGCGCTGTGCTAGGGGACCCAGCAAGTGAACAAGACAGACAAAAATCCCTAGGCTTCTGGACCCAGACCTGCCATGTGTAGGTGGGTGGCACTCTCTTCTTCCTGGGCCTCCCTCTTCCATTTGAAAATAGGCAATAAATTCCCTGCGTCTCAGCGCCGTGGTGAAAAGTACATGAGATAAAGGGTCTGGCATGATGCTAAGGACATAGGAGACGTTTGATCTATTAATGCTATCATTCTGTATGTAGGGAGCACACAGTAGGTGCTTGATAGCCAGGTGCTGATGACTCGGCCATGCCATTGTGGGTGTACCAATTTCCTGTTGCTTCTGGAACAGAGTGTCACAGATTAAATGGCTTAGAGCAACACAAATGTATTCTCTTAGAGTTCTGGAGGTCAGAAGCCCAGAACAGGTAGACAGGGCCTAACTTATTCTGGAAGCTCTAGGGGAGAATCTGCTTCCTTGCCTTTTCCAGCAGCTAGAGGCTGCCCGCATTCCTTGGCACATGATCCTGCATCACTGTGACCTCTGCTTACGTCATCACATCACCTCTGACTTTGACCTTCCTGCCTCTGTCTTATAGAGAACACTTGTGATTACGTTGGACCCACCTGGATAATACGGGATAACTTTTCCATCTCAAGAGCTTTGTCTCAATCACACCTGCCAACACTCTTTTGCCCTATAAGGTAAGAGGGTCGCAGGTTCTGGAAACTAAGGTGTTGACATCTTTTTTTTTTTTTAAGTTTATTTTTTTAGTAACCTCTACACCCAGTGTGGGGCTCGAATTCAGAACCCCGAGATCAAGAGTCTCATGCCCTACCGACTGAGGCAGCCAGGAGCCCCAAGGTGTGGACATTTTGATTGTTTAGCCAATGGGCTGGAATCCCAAATCTGCCAATTACTAGCTAGGTGACCTTGTTGGGACAGCTAGAATGCCTAGTTCAATTTAAATTTCAGATAAACAATGAATAACTTATAGTATAAATATACTGCTGGAGTGTACTTATACTCAAAATTATTCATGCTTATGTGAAATTCAATTTTAACTGTCTTGTGTTTTTATTTGCTAAACCTGGAAACCTCAGTCCTTGGGCAAGTTACTTAAACTCTCTTGTGCCTCAGCTTCCTCATCTATAAAGTAAGGTTGAAGAGCACCCATTGAGGCCCCACACGACCTGCCTCCCACCACCCCCCTTCCAGTCACATTGGCCACCTCCATGTCTCTCTACTCACTCTGCTTTCCACACCACAGGCTGCCCCTGCCTGGAATGTTCTTCCTTGCACTTCAGATTTCAGCTTGTGACCCTTCCTCCCTGACCATCACCCTGGTGCCCATTCTCAAGAAATGTGTGGGATGAATGAAGGGAAAGGGGACTCAGAAGTGCCCTTCTGTGTTTGCAAAGATTTCACCAAGCAGAGGCCTAACTCACAAGATCGGGACGCTACACAGGAGCATGGAATGATCCCTTCCAGAGACAGTCATGTGCCCATTACTGATGAAAGCTATAGGATTCAGGCCACAAATCAGGGCCTTGGCCTTGAGGATCTTTAAAGTTCCAAATTCCCTAAGACCAAAGGTTTCATAGCATTTGATAAACACATGTTGGAATTACCTTCATAATTTTCAACTCCCACGAGCTCCATGAAGCCAGAACACCCCAGTTAAGGAACACCACCTGCCCAAGGTGCTACTGGGAAATGTAGTTCTTTTTTCGGATTCCTTCTTGGGGGAGGGGGCGCTTAAAAGAATACAGATTAAGCTAGGGGGTAATGCAGATTTGTCACTTAAAATCTGAGCTGATTTCCCCACACCTCAGAGCCAGGGACTTAGAAATATGCACGCACGCACGCACGCGCACGCACACACCCACACACACACACACACCCGCCCCGAGTTTTTCACCACGTCAAAGCCCCGGGACTGCGAAGAATGGCAGGCAAACTCCGAGCTGCGACCGTGGGGGAAGTAACCACCCAGGGGCGACAGGGATCCGCGGGGATCGTAGTACCACTTGCAAACACCTGACTGGAGAGCAGGGCAGGGCCACTCACGGGGCTCTCGGTCGCGGGGCTCTCCTGTTTGGGCGCCCCCCGCTCCAGGGGCACGGCCAGAACAGCGCGCAGCAGCAGCAGCGGTGACAGCAGGAGGAGGAGGGCTGCGCGGGGCCCAGAGGAAGGCATGGCGGCGTGGCCTGTGGGGGGCAGAGAGGTGGATAATGTCTGTCCCAAGTCGCCTACTCCCCTGGACCCAGGAGTCTGGACCCCCAGAGCCGCCCGCACCCCCCTTCTAAGAGTGAAGACTCAAAGCGTCTCGTTTCCCGGGACACAGGATTCCGCACGTCCAGCTCTTCCTTCCTTAGACCCAGCAGTCCTGGCTCCCAGCACCCAGCCTCTTCGCTCAGACTCAGGAATCCAGGATCTCAACCCCTTTTCCCCAGAACCAAAGATCCAGGCCCCCAGCCTCCTCCTTTGCCAGGATCTAGGAGTACTGGTGCCCAGTCCATCCTCCCCGAGACCCAGTTTTCCAGCCCTCTGGTCCCCTTCTCCCGCTCCTCCCCAGGACCCAATCTAGGACCCCCCCCCTTCCCAAGCCCCTCACCTTTCCTTCACCGCAGAGGGCGTTTTCCCGGGCTGGGACCTCCGGTGCGTTCGGGTGATTTCCCCCCTAGGCCACGCCCACTTTCCCGCGGAGGACCCGCCCTCCGGGGCCTCATTGGTCCGCGCTGGCTCCAGGCTCCTGGGTCCCTGTCTAGCGGCCCGCCCCTTGCCGAAGTCGCTCGTCTGTTCTCGAAAGCCTCGCCTCCTTTCTCGGAAGCTCTACCGCTTGACGCCGCATTTCCTGCTTTTTAGGCGAAAGGAAAGAGGAGGCTTTCGAAGAGAACTACAGTTCCCTGCAGGCAGGCGGAAAATGAGGCCACTTCCGCGGGCAAAGCCTTCGCCTCCTGGCAGTTGTAGTTTTCCCCATTTATTTTTCCACAAGAAGTGGCAGCAAGTTACAGATCGGTAGCAGTTGACACAGGTCATCTTATAAGTTTCTAATATATAATATATTAGATATATCTAATATATCTAATATATAAGCCATATACATCTAATATATAAGCCATATATACATATATACATATACACACTATATATATAGAGAGAGCGCAGAGCGACCCAGTGATGCCGGCTCTCTTGGGTCCCTTTAAGGAACACCTTGCATGCCCTTCCAGTTCAGAACCCTGGAGCAGGGTTGCCTGGCTGCCATGGAGGCCAAGGGTCATTGCTTTGTTGGAAGTGGAGTGTGGGGGGCCAGGAGGGAGGGGATTAGGGCAGGTCCCAGTGGGAATCCCCCCTCCCTCTGAGCCCTCTTCCTTTGCCTGCTTACTTCCCAGAGACCCAGAGATTAGGTGCCCAGCTAAAGAGAGGGTTAGGTATGTTTAGAAATTGGCCAGAGAGGCAAGGTACTGAGGCGTGACTGTGAAAAACCTTTGCAGGCACCAGGAGAGGAGTTGCCAGGATCCCGGGCAGGTGGGTGCTGGAGATGGGGGGGGGTCAATGGGGGTCGAGTGTTTGGCGCCGAGTCCTAAGTTCCCATGCCTGCATAAAGGAGAGTTAACTACTTGGGGGAAAGGGAACTGGATTCCTGGGCCCCTCAAAGTCATGAAAGCTGGAAACAGGCTGCTGGGTCCCTGACCAAGTAGGTGCTGGAATTCGGGCTGCCTGGGTCCACTGGTCTGTGTCCTGACTCCTCATTCTTGCTTCTCCAGAATGTCTCAGGAGAATGACACATGGAAGAAAGAGTGAGTGGGGAAGGGGGATGCGCAGGGGTGAAAATGGGGGTGCAGGAGGAACTTAAAGTTTGATTATGCCCACACTCACTCCATTCTGGCTTTATGACCATGTTTGCAGGTTCAGCACCATTAGCCTAGTGGTAAGGAGCGGAGGCCTGGACTTCTGGGTCCTGAAGGGAGGGAGCTACACATGAGGACTCATGGGTCTCAAAGAGGAGGGGCTGGGGGCCTGGACTCCTGAATCCTGGGACAGTAGGGGCCTGGGATCTCTGACTCCTGGATTCTAGACAGGCCAATGCTGGGGAAAAAGAGCTTCAGAACCGGTGGAGCAGACTCAGGTTCTGCTCCTTCTGTGACCTCACAAGTGCTCAGAACCCTAAGTTGGGCAGGAAGAAAGAAGGAAAGGAGGGGCTCTTGGGCAACGGGGGTGCCCTGCTTGCTGTCACCATGAGCCTGCACCTCTCTCAGGGCGCTGGGGGATGAGCTCGCCGCCATGAGGCTGCAGAAGCTGGCACAGCAGGTACTATGCCAGGGAGTCCTGCCACACACCCCCCTTCAGTCTTCCAGAGAGTCCAGGAGCACCAGCCCCAGGATTTGCTCTGGGACTCCTGTCCCTCGTTGGCTCTCTCCAAGCCTCAAGTCTGCAATTGGGAAATGAGAAAATAGGAATTGGGGATCCTGAGGAAGCAAATCTTGATGATGAGAATGCAAAGTTTCTAAGGCTTCTGGAGGGCAGGACTGCTAGGTCCTGGGAGAGGAGGGGACAGGGTGCCAGGACTCCTGGATCCGAGGAAGGAGGAGCTGAGGGACTGAGAGCCTGGACTCCCGGACTCCCTCCCATACACGCCTCCCCCTGCCCCAGACCCTCCTTCACCCCTGTCTTCCCGTCCGGTTCCTGGCCCCCACACCCCCCTTTTCCTCTCCCGCAGCGGCGGCTCTTTGAGAAGAAGCAGCGGCGGAAGCGCCAAGAGCCCCTCATGGTTCAGGCCAATCCCGACGCTTCCCTGCGGCCCCGGCGACCATGGAGGCGGGAGGAGCGCCTCGCGGGTGACAGCGGTCAGGAAAAGTTCTAGTGTGGGGCAGGCGCCCAAGGAGAGCCCAGCGCAGGGCCCTTGGGGACCCGGGAGCGGGACCTGGCAGAGCTCAGGGGCGGAGCAGGGAGAGCGCGGGGGTGGAGCCTGGTCCGACTAGGGGGTGGGGCGCGAGAGAATCCCGTGATTGGGCTTCCTAGAGCTCTGGGGCGGAGCCTGGGGGAGGTTGGCGGGGCGGCCCTGGAAAAGGCAGGGACGCAATTTCGGTAGAGTGAGGGCTGAAATTAACAAAGCCCGGGGCGGGGGGGGGGGGGGGGCGAGGCCGGGATAATTTAGAGACAGGTCCCGGGAGAGACCGAGAGCCGTGTGTGGGATTGTGTAGGCACAGAGTTCGCAACAGTTTAGCTGCAAGTCTGTGCTTGCTTGAGCCTTAGGATGGACTTTGCGTTCTGAATGGGTCTCCCGGGTTTGGGCCGTCACTCAGGGATGGTGTCTGGGAGTCAGTCAGGGAGCGGATCTTCGCAGAGGACTGGAATTTGTACATCGTGTTAATGGGCTTCGCTGCACCTTCTCCCAGGCCTTGGGAACCCTTTCCTCCAGGAGAACGTGCCAGAGGCACATCTGCGCTCTGGGGCCCACAGTGCCCTGGGCATCGTCAGCTGCGGTGGAGATGGCAGCCCACTGGCATCGCCGACAGAAGGAGGTAATCTCGAGTCCTTGGGCCGCCTATACCCTAGAACTGCACTCCCACCAGAATCCAGGAGTCTGGAACCTCAGTCCTTGCTCTCCAAAAACCCAGGGGTCCACGCCCCCCACGGGCCCTGTCATCCATCACACCAAGGAGTCCAGATCCTGAAACTACTCCTTCTCCAACACTCAGGAATTTGAATCTCCAGGCCCCTTCCCCGCCTCCCCACCCCCCAAAATCCCGGTCTCTAGTCCCTCTCCCTTATCCTGGCTACCAGACAGTTCCGATCCGGAGTTGGAGGAAGTCTCCGTGGAGGATGTTCTTGCTTCTCCACCTCCTTATAAAGAGGCTCTGGGGACTCGACGCAGGGGTTGGCCAGCCCGCCAACGACCTGGTAATTTCGGGGACATTGGGTGGAATCTGGTCCCTGGTCCATGTGGCAGATCCTCCCCCCTTTTTTGGTAACAATTTTATTGAAATATATTTGACATACCATACAATTCACTCATTTAAAGTTTACAGTTCCATGGTTTTTAGCATATTTAGAGAGATGAGCAACCATCACCACAATCAATTTTAGAACATTATCATTATCCCGAGGGAAACCCTGTACCTTTTAGCAGTGACCCCCCCCGCCCCCCACACCTCATTTCTCCCAGCCCTAGGCAACCACTAATGTACTGTCTCTTTAGATTTGCCTATTCTGGACATTTCATTTGTTTATTTATTTATTTATTTTTAAAGATTTTATTTACTTATTTGAGAGAGAGAGAGAATGAGAGATAGAAAGCACGAGAGGGAAGAGGGTCAGAGGGAGAAGCAGACTCCCCGCTGAGCAGGAAGCTCGACGTGGGACCCGATCCCGGGACTCCAGGATCATGACCTGAGCCGAAGGCAGTCGCCCAACCAACTGAGCCACCCAGGCGCCCTGTTTATTTATTTTTTATTTAAGTTGAATGAGCCGACATATAGTACATCATTAGTTTCAGATGTAGAGTTCAATAACTCATCAGTTGCCTATAACACCCAGTGCTCATCACATCACGTGACCTCCTTAATGCCCATCACCCAGTTACCCCATCCCCCCTCAGTTTGGACATTTCATTTAAATAGAATAATATAGTATTTGATCTTTCGTGATTGGCTTCTTTTGCTTATCATGTTTTTAATGTTCATCTATGTTGTAGCATCGTTACTTGTTATTTCTTAATATTACATGACAGTTCCTTCTATTCTCATGACATGACCAACGATTCAATAACAGGACTCTTAATTATCACCCCAAACCCCATTCCTCCCTCCCATTTTAGTTCCCAATCTCTCTGATGCGCTCTTTGGGACCAGGTAAAGGGAGGACTCTAACCCCACCCTGTCCTTAGACCCAGGGCAGTCAGAGACTTCTCAGCCAGTGTAGACACCCGTGCACACGGGGGAGGAGGAGGATCTGGCAAATGAGTGTGCTGAGTAATAAGGAGAGGCCAGAAACCCAGGATATCTGGCCTTTACCAGCTAGCACTGGTGAGCTGGTCCCAAGCTCCTGGGACCCAGGTGTCCTGAGCCAGTTTTCTTCTGGCTCTTTCCACCCCGTAGGGGCCAGTGTGGAGGAAGAGTGAATCCCAAGATGTTGGAGATGAATATGAGGCACCCAGTCCAGAACCAAACCCTAGCATGGATGGTGACCCGGGTCGTGGAGACTTAGCCTCCAACAAGGTGGGAGGTGGCACAGCCAGTCAGGATATAGGAGGAGGGCTAGCTTCGGACTCCAGAGAGGGTGGGTCTAAAACTCTGCAGTCCAATCAGAGGCCCTTTTTACTGGTGGGTGGAACCTGTTATGATTGGGCCATCCCTGTCTCTGTGTGTGTACCATTTATGAAGTCAATCTAGAGGGTTCAAATCGATGTAAGCACATACATTAAAATCCAGCCAACGGAAAGGCAGAGAGCTTTGGAGAGGGTGAAACAGTGATGGGGAAGGGCCAACAGTTGGCACTCGCAGGTGTTTAATGAAAGTAAGATAACTAGTATGATAAATGGGGAGATCTGGGCCATATTATATGTTATCTAGACCGAAACAACACTGCTTTTAGCTGAATGGACAGTGCTTTCCTGCAAAGAGATTCTCCAACCGGTAGATGAGGTGGGCGTGGCTTCAGAGGGCAGCTATTAGTGGTGACCAATGAACAGATGATGAGGGCTTGGCTGCGTGGGCCCCTTGAAGGTACTGGCCAATCAGCACGTGACCGAGACGTTTGCCCAATCGGCAGAAAACATGGTTGAGAGAGGGCGTAACCCTGAGCTGTCATGGCCAATCAATAGTTGGTAAGCCTGTGGTGGAGGCGGGTCTCAACAGCCCTCAAATTGAATTTGGCGCGTGGGCTAGGGCGAAGACTTGGAAGAGAAGAAAGAGGAGTCGGAGTCTACGGTGAGGAACTCCCCACCCGCAGCCGAAGAGGAGGTGTCCGAGACCCCGGAAGGCGAGGTCGGCGCGGGCAGCAGCGATGTGGGGAGCTCGCCCCGCTCGCCTCCCCGTGCGCCAGGCCCTCGGCTGGGAGAGGACATGGAAGCTTATGTGCTGCCGCCCGCGCTGCGCGGCCCGCACGGTGCAGTGCCGCATCAGCCGCGACAAGCGCGGCGTAGACAAGGGCATGTTCCCCTTCTACTATCTCTACCTGGAGGCGGCCTACGGCCGGAAGGTGCAGTCTGGCTGCCTCTCGAGCAAGCCCCACCTCCCAGGGGCAAGTCCCGTCCCCCCCCCTTTTTTAAGAATTTATTTATTTATTTGACAGAGAGAGACATAGCGAGGGAGGGAACACAAGCAGGGGGGAGTAGGAGAGGGAGAAGCAGGTTTCCCCGCGGAGCAGGGAGCCCGATGTGAGGCTCGATCCCAGGAACCTGGGATCACGACCTGAGCGGTAGGCAGACGCTCAACGACCGAGCCACCCAGGCGCCCCAGGTCCCGCCCCTTTCTGAGCGAGGTGGAGACTTTCACGAATCCAGGTCTTGCTCAATGATGACATTGAGCTAGGACTTGTGAACTCCAACGCCAAACCCTGCCCTTCACGGAACTAGGCTACTTTAGCAGTAGCATAGGCCCTAACCAAGCCCGTAACTAAGCCTCGTCCACTCTTGAGTTTGGGCCCACCTTTCTCAAAGTCAGGCCACGCTGTCTCAGGGTCCAAAACCTCACCCCTTAGACACCCTCTCGAGGTGTTGGCCCCGTTGTGTTTGTCCAAGTTCGGCCTCTCACTGAGCCTTCTAATCTATCAGGTCCCTACCCAATCTTCGGATAAGTCCCGCCCCCTAGGAACCAACTCCTCCCCTCGTGGATTGTCTAGTCTAGAGCCAAATCACGCCCCTCTCAATCTGGCTAGTTTCCCCCTCGGTGTGGAGGCTTCTCTTCAAGGCACTCTCCCAAAAGGAGGCTTTCCCCCTACTCAGTAGTGCTAGACCTGTTTTTGTCGGATGAAATCCCTACCAAAGTCCCGCTGCAATGTTCCAAGTGAAGCTCTTCCCTAGCCTCAGTTAGGCTCACCGCTGCCTGGGCTCAGCCCCGACCCAGGACCCAACGGTGGAAGGAATGGAGGCGGGGGGAGATATTAAGATGTGAAGCTCCCCTTCAAGACCCAGCTGATGATTTCCTTCAGTGAGAACCGCATCTCGCAGCAAGTCTCAGGATGCTTTTTGCTCCATCACCCTCTCCTCTGCCGTGGGGACACGGTGTTTCCTTGTCTTGGGCCCCTAACCCTAGCCAGATATCAGAAACTGTTTTTGATGGGCCGTTCTTCCCACCCACAGCACTTCCTCCTGGCTGGGCTCAAGAGAAAAAGGAGCAAAACCTCGAATTACCTCATTTCCCTGGAGCCCACAGACCTGTCTCGGGATGGGGACAACTTTGTGGGCAAAGTCAGGTGGGCAGAGCCCTTGATGGGTGTGAGAAATAGGTGGCAGGAGGCCTCGGGGGCGCCGGGAGGGGTGGGGGAGAAGGGGACAAGCAGGCCGCGGAGCACAAGTTCTGCCTGCTCTCGGACCTCTTGTCTTACGGATTGAGGGACTGTGTATATCTTCAGGTGGTAGCCCCAGGGTGGGTGGGAGTAAGAAAACTAAGGGCTTTGGAGCAGAGGTTGACATTTAAGACATTTGACTTCTTGAGAGGCAAGAGGGTAGGACTCCTAAGTTCCCATGGGAGAGGGCTGTGCTGTATGCATTCTTGCATCTTAGCGGGAATACGGTTCCTAAAAGGCAGGGGACTAAAAGTCGTGGCTCATCAGAGAAACAGAGGGGGCTGGTACCGTCGATGCATGGAACACGGAACTTAAGTCCCAACTAGAGGGTTAATGGGAAGAGTTGACGACATGACATGGGAAAGCACTTAATGTACAGCAAAAACTCATTATTTTTACTCTGACCACTCCCCTCCTGGAGCAGATCTAATGCCTTGGGCACCAAGTTCACCATGTTTGACAATGGGGTGAATCCTGAAAGGAAGAATTTCCTCCCCGAGACCGCTCGCATCAGAGGAGCTGGGGGCTGTGTGTTATGTGAGTGTCTGGGAGACAAGAGAGAATGAAGCAGGACGGTGGGGAGGGAGAAAGAGCCAGGTCAACTGGAGCATAATACCCCCAGGAGACCAACGTCTTGGGATTCCGAGGGCCCCAGAAAATGGCTGTGATCATTCCAAGAATCGATTCCCAGAACCGGAGAATCAGCGTCCAGCCTCAAAACGTGAGTTGGCTAAGGTTGAGAATCTCTGGATCAGTGGGGGAGGAAGGTCTGAGGGACCTGCCCTAGGTCCTAAGGGAGAAGGGGGCCCATGGCTTGCAGGTGGTCATATGTTAAGCCAGAAGGACTTTGTCAGACTTCTGTTTCTCAAGGAGGAGAGATTAGGGAAGCAAAATTCTGCGTCCGGAGGAAAAACGTTCATTGGTGGTTGGTTAACCACGCCCCCTACTTTATCTTACAGGAACAGGAGTCGCTACTGAGTCGCCTCCAACGGGCGGCCAGCCAGGGGCTGGTCCTGCTGCAAAACAAACCCCCGTCGTGGAACGCCGAGAGCGGCGCCTACGTACTCAATTTTCATGGTCGAGTCACTCGGGCCTCGGTCAAGAACTTCCAAATCGTGCAGCCGGATGACCGTGAGCTCCTAGGAACCGGTTTACTTGGGCCAGGGGGGCAAGAGTGGACGAGAACTACTTCTCCCGTCAGCACTTGAGCGTTTTTCTAGGGAGGGCTGACTCCACGCTGTTGCAAAGCCTATTGGGAACTGTAGTTTAATGGCCCTCAGGGTTTCTGGGCGTAGTGGGAGCGCCGCACAGCCTCTGAGAAGTGGTAGTACTCAAAGCTCAGAGGCCCGCGGAAGGGAGTTGAGGAGTGGGGCTAGTCTTACTTAGTTCCGGACTTCCGCCTCAGCGGACTACCTGGTGCTCCAGTTCGGCCGCGTGGCCCCAGACACATTCACCATGGATTTCCGCTTCCCGCTTTGCCCGCTCCAAGCCTTTGCCATCTGCTTGTCCAGTTTCGATGGCACGCTGGCCTGTGAGTAATCCAATGAAATACCATGCCCTCACCAGCTTCTGTGCCTGCTCATTTGGAGAAAGGGCCCCCGCATGCCTTCTTTTGCACCACCTTACTCATAACCAACCCATCATACTCTGCCTGGGTGCCCAGTCCTGTGCTCCAGGGGAGTAGCGTTTTCAGCAGCACCTGCTTTTCGCAGGACTCAGTCATGGGAGATGGGTTTTAAACAACAAAAAATTAAAATGCGCCTCTGCTAGGAAGGAGAAAAGCACGCGGAGGCACAGGTCAACTGGGTCAGATCAAGGTATCCCTAAAAAAGTGATTTCCACACCACATCTGAAGAATCACGAGAAACCAGGGCCAGAGGGGTCAGGGGTGGGAACATCAGGCAGTAGGCACAGCTCATACAAAGGTCTTAAGGTGAAAAGGGGCTTGATCGGTTTGGGAAAATGAAAGGATAGTGTGGCAGGAGCCTGGGGAACCACCGGAGAGGGGCAGGGTCAGAGGCTCGACAGGGGGCAGGATGTTTGAGCCACTCTGCTTTCAGCTGCTGGATAGATCTCATGGGGTCAGAAAAGACTTCTGAGTTGGAGATGTAAACTTGGATGGGTAATTCAAGACATGCATGGGTGAGAGTGAGAATAATTACAATACTAGCTACACTTATTTAACATTTGTTATTTGGCAAGCAGTGTTTTAAATATGGATTTGGGATGCTTGGCTGGCTCAGTCGGTGGATGGTGGGATCTTGATTTCAGGGTTGTAAGTTCAAGCCCCTTGCTGGGTGTAGGGATTACTTAAAAATGAAATCTTAAAAAAAATTAAAAAGGCAAATAAATAAATATGAACTCTTTTGGGGCCTTACGATCCTATAAGGCATGTGCTATTGTTAGCCACATTTTATAGGTAAGAAAACAGTCTATGGAACGGGGCGTAAAAAGATGAAATTGGATCACTGAAAGCCTTGAGCAACTCACCATTTAAAGGCCAGCAGGAGGGTGCCTGGGTGGCTCAGTTGGTTAAGCAACTGCCTTTGGCTCAGGTCATGATCCTGGAGTCCCGGGATCGAGTCCCACATCGGGCTCCCTGCTCAGCAGGGAGTCTGCTTCTCCCTCTGACCCTCTTCCCTCTCGTGCTCTCTATCTCTCATTCTCTCTCAAATAAATAAAATCTTTAAAAAAATAAATAAATAAATAAAGGCCAGCAGGAGGATGAGTATATTCCAGGGAGGCACAGAAAACTGGAATTGAACCCTTTTTTAGCGATCAGTGAGTCCAGCTCCCAGCCCCTTTGGGGAGATAATCGTCCCAAGTTTAATAAAATTGAGGCCGATGCCAGAGAAAAACTACAAGACCCACCCGCCCTTAGTTCAAAAGAAGCCTCAGGACAAGAAGAGGCAAATTTGAGGGATGATGGGAAATACAGTTTGTCCTCTATTGAGGTACTCGGCTTTATCCCAGGGGTAGTGGATTGTTGTCAGTTCAGATACACACAGTGATGGTGACATGGCTTGCTACAAATCAGCAGGTTTTATTTCTTATATATAACAACCCCCTCAAAATAAATAGCTAATAGAAACAGGAAACTCCATGATCTTAGCCACGCCTCCCACTGAGGTCCAGGCAAGGGACGGGGACACAGGAGTGTGGAGGGAGATGATGCCCCAACATGGCTCAAGGGTGTGGCCTAGATGGAGGACAATGGTGAGATCTGGGGAGGAGCAGGTGTGGCGGCCAGAGGAGGGGTAGGGTTCCCACAGCGGGCCCAGGCCCTAGCCCGGGCAGCAGGGGTGAGACAGGGGCCCAGCTGCTCCTGGGCCTGGGCAATCCGCCGGGCGAAGCGACTGCGATCCCGGGCCAGCTGCTCCCAGGGTCCCCGGCGGGCGGCCTGGGCCGGTCCTGCCCAGACAGCCAGGAGATGGACAGAGACCTTCTCAGAGAAGTGTACCTGGAGACGGGAGCAGCACAGATGCAAGACACACGTGTCCACAGTGGGCAGGGGGGGAGAGAGAGAGAGAAAGAACCAAAACAAAAATGAGTGATGCAAAAATGCTTGTTGTCTGAGTCACCTGCTAGTCCCTGGCCCACGGCATTCCCCACATGACTCACTGCAGGTAGAGACCGTTTCCCGGTGCTGATCTCAGCCACAGCTGCACCCCCTTCCCACGGGGCCCCAGCCTCTTGCAAAGGCTTGCATTACAGTGAACACAGCCCTCCCAACGGAGTTCACATGCAACCGTCTGCAACGCACGGGGGACCCAGAAGTTGGGCCATCCAGCCCTTCCGCTCCCCCCCCCGCCCCCCCCAGGCCCAGGAGTTCCAAATCCTCCCTAAGCCTCAAGAAACTGAGTCCTCAGTACCCACCTTTCTGGCCTTTAGGGGAGTCTCAGGGTCTGGATGCCGGGTGGGGGTTTCTGTGGGCTTGAGTCGCCTCTGCAGTCGGAGGGGCAGCCGAGGACGAACCCAGGGAGGCGGTGGCTTCTCCCCAGGTAAATAGATGGCCACTCGGAAGGGGCAGGGCTCAGCTTCTCCCCACGCCTCAGCAACTTCCCCTCCCTCTGTGTCCTCTCCAGGCCGGTATGTCCAGCCCCGGTGGAGGGTGCTCTGAGCCTGAAGGGAGGGACTTGGCTCAGAGTTAGCTGCTTCTGAATCCTCTTCCGGCTCTGTGTCCTCTCCTGGCCTATATACCCAGGCCTTTAAAAAGGTATCTGTGGCCTCAGCTTCTCCCTCCTCCTCAGCTGCTCCTGAATCACTGAATTCATCTTCTTCCTCTGTGTCCTCTCCCGGTCGATACACCCAGGCCCTCACG